GAAGGAAAAATACACCTGTGAGCTATCTGAGGACTTTTTTCTTAAGGAGCAGAACTTTAAAGAGTTGCAGGCTATCAGATGTGTTAGTTCTGTTTGCAGTATCTTATTTTCTGAGGCAGCTGATGTCTGTGTGTGCAAAGCTGTATAAAAGAGCCAGACATGATTACCTATTGAACTTTGCTTGGGAAGAGGCCAAAGTGAGCAATTCATGTTTCCAACAGTGCTGTATGCACATTTGCACTACTTGAAATAGAGTGGTTTGTGGCCTGATGCTATCCTGACACTTCAGACACTTACCCTAGCAGTTTCCCAAGCATTATAGCATTTGGGAGAATAGGTCCTGCACTGGGACTTCTGAATTTCCATTTTGAATGTCTGTGTACATGTGGAAGATTTTATCTTCAGATGATCTCATGTATTCTGCACACGCATTCTGCAAAGGTGCAAATATAAAACATACATGGTAAGTGTTGTATTATTGGTTTTGTGGCAGAGCTGGTGTTATTTATAGAATCATAGAATGGTTTGGGTTGGAAATGACCTTAAAATAATCTAGTTCCCACTCAGGGTTGGAAAAGACCTTAAGATCATCTAGGCAGGGCCCCCTTCCACTAGACCATGTCACCCAAGACTCCATCCAGCCTGGCCTTGAACACTGCCAGGGATGGAGCATTCACATCTTCTTCAGGCAACCCATTCCAGTGCCTCATCACCCTCACTGTAAAGAACATCTTCCTTTTATCTAACCTGAACTTCCTCTGTTTAAGTTTGAACCCAAACTTATATGAAGCTTTAAGAGCTCCAGCCCTCCCTCTTTTTCCTTCTGTGTGTGACTGATGTGCTCTTCTTGAGCTTGCCTCTTCTTAGGGTTGCCCTAAGAAGTCACAAATGCTTCATCCCTGGCAGTGTTCAAGGCCAGGTTGGACAGAGCCTTGGGTGACATGGTCTAGTGCGAGGTGTCCCTGCCCATGGTGGGGGGTTGGAACTAGATGATCTTAAGGTCCTTTCAACCCAAACCATTGTATGACTCTATCATTCTATGATTCTGCACAGCCTTGTGGTGGCAGAAATGTGTCTTCATTTAAAGAGGGCAAGATGTGGGATGTGTCCTAGTTGTACCCAGTGCTCTGCTTGGGCAGGAAACTTAAGGTAGTTTTAGCAGCAGCTGAGATTCATTTACTCACCATCCCAAGCCTCATATGATTTTAGTGTTATAAAAGCCAATCAGGTTATTGTTTTAAGGTATAAGATGCCCTTAGGGCTTTGCTCACTCAACTGTACTGAAGAATTAAATGCTCTCAGGCAGTGCGACAACCTCATTCACTCCAGTGTTGCAAGGCAAGGCAGTCATCACTGGTAAATGGGCCCGTATTACAGTGACATTAGCATTTTAATGCAACTAAGGAGGAGGTAGATTGACTGTAATTTAGTATCTAGTTGCATGGCCTTGTGCAGGTCCCCTCATCGCTGCTCCGCAGGGGCCGATTGTAGTTACTCAGTGCACTTTGGAATCTAATTTGATTTACATGCAGTAATGTAGTCGTGTCACAGCAATGACTCTGCTATGCAAGCACTATGAAATTCCAGTGCAATTAGTTACTTATATAGGAGCAATAGTTACAGGATAATGCATGGGGGTGACATCTTGTGCCAAGCTCCAGTTCAGGAGCAGCAAACGTTCTATGTTTTTCTGAAGCCACTGCAAGGGAATGATATTAAGCTGATCTTGCTTCCACAGAGAGGTTTCTCCTCACCCTTCACCATAAAAGCACTGACCTGTTGCACAGGTCCAGCAGGACATGACTTCTCTCTTCATCTGAACATACAGGCTAGCATGGTTGGTTTCTAAAGATCATAGAATCATAGAATGGTTTGGGTTAGAAACGACCTTAAGATCATCCAGTTCCAACCCCCTGCCATGGGCAGGGACACCTCACACTAGACCATGTTGCCCAAGGCTCTGTCTAACTTGGCCTTGAACACTGCCAGGGATGGAGCATTCACATCTTCTTCCGGCAACCCATTCCAGTGCCTCAGCACCCTCACAGTAAAGAACTTCTTCCTTAGATCTAACCTAAACTTCCCCTGCTTTAGTTTGAACACATTACCCTGCAAATGCATTGAGCAAAGGTGATTGGCAGTAGGTAGAGACACTTGTGAAGCAGTACATCTATAAGCCATTCATCAGGTGGCCATCCTGCACTAGCTAACGTGCAGGAGACCAGATTTCTCCTGAATTTCACCCTCCATTAATCTCTTGTTTCACTTACTACCTGTTGACTGTCTCATCCTCTTTTTGCCTGCTCCCTCTTTGTTGTGGCTCTCCAACTGTCTTGCTGCATGACACCAGCCTGAGTCATGAGTTCATAGAATCATAGAATGTTTGGGGATGGAAAGGACCTTAAGCTCATCCAGTTCCAACCCCCTGCCATGGGTAGTGACACCTCACACTAGAGCAGGTTGCTCAAGCCTCTTCCAACCTGGCCTTGAACACTGCCAGGGATGGAGCATTTACCACTTCTTCAGGCAACCTGTTCAGCTGCTTTGCCTCCATCAAAGCCTGACAAAGAGCAGCAAGTGCAGCTTAATGAAAGGAGACGTGATGTGGTAGCTGTGAGCTGACAGAGGAGGCAGGACAATGTGCCAAATGCGTCTGCTCAGCCAGCTGAGGCAGCATGGCTTGCACGCCCCGAGGATGGAGGCTTGCTCCAGCTTCCACTGTGTTCCCCCAACGACTATAATTAAAGGAATCAGCTTGCTCCAGCCCCTATTAGGCATGGTGGTTTTGCACTTTCTGCAACCCTCCCTAATGGCAAAATGGTAGCTATTAACCAAAGAGAGTCTGTTTGGCAGAGACTTCCTCTCCTTTAGGGCCATAGAGTAAGAAGGAATATTGCAATTGTTTGGCACCAAGCATGCTCTTTCATCCCTCCTGACACAGCACCTGCTGGCACCTACTGGAGCATTTAAAGCTTTTCCTCTCTGTGGTGCTGCAATTTCTTTAAAATATTGTGACTTCAGAGGAATAGAAAAATTAAACTTCCTCTCCCACGCAGACCTTTGAGGGCTTGTAGAGATGTAATTATACGCACACGCGGTAGGTGCAGGAATCCTATCATTCTGGTTATTTTCCTAATGATAGGTTTATATAGCACAGTGTCATCTCTGCTTTAAAGTTAGAGCCATCTTCTCCTGGTAGCAGCTATCCCAGGATAGCAGCATCACTGGATGGGGCAACTGAAGGCATTGTCTCTCAATTGGATATGCAAAGCATGGGGTGAAGTGTCCCCATACAGAAAGAGATAGATAAAAAGGGAAGGGTGGGTACCAGGCTTTGCCTGCAAGAAAGGGCTGTGAGGCAGTGACAGTGTCTCTTGTACTCGCTGTATACTCTCCAAGCCCCTCTCCAGAGGTCCCTGAGCTGATCACATAGCACTCTCTGAGCTTCCACACTGGTGGTAAAGCTGATGTGGCGACAGCACTGTAATGAAGTGGGGCAATCCAGCAACTGGTCAGCAGATGCCTTCAGTACATAGCAGCAGAGATTGGCTACAGATGTTTTCTACCCTCCAGATGCCAAAAGGAAAGCCATCCCTGCTCATCATCAGAGCTTAGGTCCACAGTGAGAGAGGAAGGACATGAAATGTGAGGGATTAATGCAAAACAAAAAAGTCTATGAATATTCATTATATGGTTTATGTTGTAATAGTTTCAGCCACCTTGAAACTCTGTGTTCGCCTCCTGCCAACAACAAACGATAGACTTTTACTCACAGAAGCCTTAATGGGAAGTAATCTTCCAAGGCACATTCACAAATGTTTGTGGGAAACAGATGTTAAATGCATCCCCTCCAGAAATGATGAGGAAATGCTGGCAGTGGGAGAGCAGGGATAGACCCAGGTGACTTATCTGAGCCCTCACAGGGGTGCAGTGACTTCAGCAAAGCAAACTGTGAAGGATGAGTGAGTGAGTTACAGTGCTGAGCGGCTGTGTGTGAATCATAGAATAGTTTGGGTTGGAAAGGACCTTAAGATCATTTGGTTCCAACCCCTTGCCGTGGGCAGGAACACATCACACTAGACCATGTCACCCAAGACTCTGTCCAGCCTGGCCTTGGACCCTTACGGTACAGGGTGCTGTTTGAATACTTAAAAGCTGCCCCTTCCCCACAGGCCCTGCGGTGTTAGATGGGTGGAAAAACCAACCTGGGAGAGGATGCCCTGAGAACCCAACAGTCAAACAAACACGTTCATCTGTAATCTCATCTCCCCTTTGCCAAGCCAGGGTCTGCCATTAGCATTGTGCAGACAGAAATTGAAATACACTGATTAAATGGGAACTTCTAGCGCAAGGGCAGTGGCAGTGTGCATCTGGGTCCTTCTGGCTGCACTGCTTTAACACCTTTGGGCGGGCAACGTGGTGGCTTCACCATTCCTCTCCATTGCTGCTTCCCAGGCAGTGACAATGAGGCAGAGGGAGAGGAAATAGTTTGCTCAACTTGACATGAGAGCTGGCTGGAAGAACAAGGAACAGCCCCAGTGTCGCAGGCCATTGCTCCTAATGGCTGGGCTGGGCTTCCCAAAGATGCATTCCATCTCCCTTCCTTTGCCTTTTCCATTTTCCCGCTAAATGGGCTGTAAAGTCACAGCAGATTAAAGTTTGTCTAAACCTCCTATAAAATATTGAAGGTGCAGCTGGTATTAATCTAGTCCTGTTGTGGTATGAGGTGTGTGTGTAGTGGGACTATAGATTTCAATGTGGTATGTGGGCATTTAAAACACCCCAAAGGTTGTTAAAGAGATGCTGAGGAATTGGATCCCTCACTGGGTATTAAAAGCTCTTCATTAGTGCTAATGTACACTAAATTAAGGTGGCAATTAGACTGAGCATATTCATCAGGATGGTGTGTTTTAATAAATTGTGTATTTAACATGATTGCATTTTATTGACTTCTGCAGGAATTGTGTATTTTTCTCTGCTAGGACAAGCTTGGCTAGAAGGAGATACATGGGACACACAGAGAATTAAAGACTAGAATAGACACCGTGCTTCAAGTCCCAAGATTTGTGAAGGTGAGTCTTGATTATGGCTCCCTCTTTGTGCTTACTCTGTATTTCTGTCAAGTATGGTTAGGTGCAGCTACAGTGTGCAGGAGAGGAGCAAGGAATGCACAGCTCATCTGCCCTCATATCAGCTGCAGGGTGTACTGCAACAAGTTGTCCCCCTTTGGTCTCCTAAATAAACTGCCCCTATCTCTGTTCTATCTAAGGGAGCAGATTTGGTGGAAATAATACTCTGAGGGGGTTTTGTGGAAAGCACCACCAGTTAGATATGTTTTCATAGCAGACCCCACTTTGGTTTAAAGGAGGTGGATACCGCTGCAGATAGTGGACACAGAAATCCTCTTGGAGACAGGAACTCCATGAAGGAAAGCAAGCATGCAGAATCAAGCCTCCATACCTGCAAGCTAAAGGGTGGGCTTCCATGTTGTTGGGTAGAGAACGCCATGGAGCAGTGCCAGGTTGTGGTGTTCCTTCACCTCTGATGCAGCTTAGAGCTTCAGGGATGTTTCCAGTGACATCTCAGCTGGGACAACCTCTAGAAACTGACGTATTGACTTGGATGAAGTATTTGAGATGGGGAAACTGTGATGAGCTATCAGACAAGTGCACAATGTCTGAATTTTAGGGATTTAAACCCATAAACCCTGGTTTAAACCCATTTAACCCTGGGCTAACCCAGTATTTCACTACTATTTCATGACAGTAGTGAAATACAAATAATCTACAGAGGTATGTTAGGGGTGGGTTGGAATGGTAGGCAAGGAAAATGGTTCACATCCTTCTTTTCAGTAGAGGGTAGGAGAGATATGGAAGATGAAAGGATTGAGACCTGTGAAAGTAAGGTGCTCTTGAGAGTTCTGATAGACTGGCACATCCGAGGAATGCTCGTGTTCCTTTTGCACGAGGTAACTTGGACATACCTTGGAGGTGCTGTCTTGAAAAAGCTTTTCCCAGGGTGGTCACACATTGGAAGAGGTGCCCAGGGAGATGAGAGAATCTCAGTCCTTGGAGATACTCAAACTGATGTCCCCCTGAGCAACCTGCTCTAACTAAAGTTGGATCAAACTTTGGGATTGGCCCAGGTTGGCGGCAGTGGGTGTTTGTACTCAATGACATCCAGAGTCATTGCTCTTTTGCCATCTCCAAGGCAAAGGAGCAACTAAAGTGAAACCAGAGGGTTAAATCCAGTGTGAAAGGGATATGGTGGGAGAGGGAAAAGTCAGTGGTAGCAAAGAAAAACTTGGAAGCAGTTTTTGGGGGTGCGGTTGAGCAGCTGCCTTTAGATATGTGAAGTTCAAGGTAGCTGCAAGGCGTGCAAAAGCAAATGTCAGAAGGCAGGAAATAAATGGTGGCTGGAGGACATTGCCTTGAAAAACTAGGCTGTATTCCTAACTGATTACAGCAGCTGGGGTATGTTTCCTGGCTACACTGCTGGGGATTCTGAGCCTCCCCATCACTTTGCAAGATAAAACTCATATTAGGGAGGGTGAAATGTAGAATAATCTGCCTAAGAAGAAGCTGTACATTTATAGCTACATTTCAGACAAAAACAAATGCATCTCATATGTCTCGCAGGTCTGAGATGGGACAAGCCAGGAAAAGCATCTGTCAGCCGCTGTCTTCTGCAGTTCTGACTGTTAATGTTTGCTTAGCATTAAATGTCTCCTGTGGAGGAGAACTTAATCTGTCACAAATTTGGGGCCTGGAGGAGGGGGAGAAGATATTTTTAAGAGGTGGATTAAGACATATGCGTTCGGGTTTTATCGCACTTGCATCAGTGTGTTGTAGGAGTAACTGACAAGATTTGCCTTTTGTGTGTATGGCTTAGAAGGAAAAGTGGAAGGAAGAAGCAGCTCTGGGGGTCAGGTTTCTCCTTTCATGTCAGCTATTTTCTCCATGCAGCCTGTCACTGGGGACTTGAGGTACCTTCAGCTAATTAGTAAGGCAGCGGTTGGCACAAGGGGTTTCATAATTACACTGTTAGTAAGTACCATTATTTGCATTTCACTTGTGTTGTTTGTAAATGGCATTAGATACACTCCCCAAAGTCTAGAGCATATATGAACTAGATAGTAATGTATTTCACATACACTGGAGTGCTTGAGTTCTGACAGGAGACAGTTTTAAGCCCTGTGAAAGAGGTCAAATCATACTTTTGGTTGATTTGCCCTGTTCTAATCCGTGCAATCATAGAATCCAAATGGTGATCTTAAATGCGCTGTTTGGGATACCCAGCAGAAACTGGAAGTGTGTGTTATGCTGGGATGAGTGTATCTCTCCAAGCTCTAAGTTCCAGCACTGAAACAGATGCTCAGAGCTCCCATTTCTCAGATCAGATCAGTGGGTTGACATTTTCTGGTAGTTTGCATTGAGCTCATGTGATGTGGAAGGTCTGACGTGCATGTTCTTGGCTTTGCCAGCCCAGACTTTGCGCTATTGCCACTGGCTTCCATTTGCACATCCTGAGTTGAAGGACCCTTTGTAAATCCCATGGGGTGTGTTCCTGACTTGAAGCACAGCACAATTAGTAGAGTTTCACTTAGTTGTTTCTTTGCTGTGTGAAGCGCGGTAGGTTTAGAAATCACAAATCTGAGCTCAGCACCACCAATGGGGACAATTTCTCGCCCAAGCCAAACAAGGGAGTCCTTAGTTGTCAAAGCTGAATGTGCCTGTGTTCACCCTGCTGCCAGGTTACTGTGACTGTGTGGCTCTGCCAGTGAAGTCTGCTCAATGATTTAGAGTCTTAATTCCCTGCTCACGCCTAGAAAACATTTAACATACTGAGTGTGTGCATGGGGAGGAGCAGTGTGAGGAATCGTAACTTAGGTTTGTCTTGGAAAAGAAAAGGAGGCCTGTACTAAATCAGTGCGGTTCCAAGGGATCTTGCTCATCCTGCAGCGGAAGCAAACCCAGACATGGAAAGCAAAGTAAGGTGGGAATGTGATTTATCGACTCTATAAAGCAGCAAGACAGCGTTAGACTCGGGCGCTGCTGCTTCTTGGACCACAGGCAATGTTTTTCATGTGAGTGCCTCGGCAGCGAGATGAGTGTGAATGATGTGAAGTGGCACGATATGGCTCAACTGGTTTGCTTTTTACTCCTTTCATGCCTAAGGCTACCGTGATATGGATCATGTGGTGAGTGCTCAACGCAGCAGAACTTACTGGTTTCTCAGATGACTTTCAGACTTTGGCTTAATATACTGAGCTTTAGGGATCCTTTGTTTTATTAGAGCACAACTTTCCTTTTGTGTGGTGATGGAAACATCTGGGGGCCACTGATTGTGGGGCTATTGAAGTTCTAGTATCCTATTGATATGTCTGTGTTTTCATATTGCTCTCTACCATAGTCTCCAAGCTCAGGGGTTAGTGGAGCTGAAGGTTCACCGTTCCCATGGAACTGAAGAATTCCACCCCCCAGCTCCTTACCCTTCTGGACTTAAAGATCTCCTCTCTCTGTGAGATTTGCAGACATGGCTTTAAACACCATCAAGAAGCTGTGGGCAACTCCTCCAGGCTCATGCCAGAGCTCTGTGCCCCACTCCATCTACTGCAGTTGTGGTCTTGGCTTTGAGTCTCTCTGGGCAGAAGAGTTGTGTATCAAAAGTATAAGAAAATAAACTGTAAAGAAAAATTGTCCTTGTTCTGTGGTTCAGATTCAGATTTGTGTTCCTTCAGAAGTGAGGTGGACTGTAAGCCTGGCTTGTGGATCCTCTGTGAAAGGGGACCTGGGGGTCCGGGTGGACAAGTGAACAGTGTGTTGCTGCAGCAAAGAAAGCCAACAGGATGCTGGGTTACGTCAACAAGGGCATCATAGCAGAGATAAAGACGTCATCCTCCCACTCTACTCTGCTCTTGTCAGGCCACACCTGGAATAGTGTGTTCACTTTTGGTCCCCACTATGCAAAAAGGATGTGGACAGGCTGGAGAGGGTCTGGAGAAGGGCCATGAAGATGATCCAAGGACTAGGAAGCCACATGGGGAAAGGCTGAAAGAGCTGAGCTTGTTCATCCTGGGGAAAAGAAGACTCAGGAGACACCTTATCACCATGTTCCAGTATTCAAAGGGTGGCTAAAAAGAAGATGGAAACTCCCTTTTTATAAGGAGTCACATGGAAAAGATGAGGAGTGACGAGTAGAAGTTACTCCTGAGGAGATTCCAGTTGGATGCAAGAGGAAAATTTTTCACACTGAGAACAATCAACCATTGGAATAACCTCCTCAGGGAAGTGGTGGATTCCCCAATACTGGACACTTAAGATTCAACTGGATAGGGTGCTCGGGCATCAGGTCTAGACTAGGCTCTTGCCAAGAGAGGTTGGACCTTTAGGTGATCCTTTAGGTCCCTTCCAACATGGTATTCTATGATTGATTCTATGTTCTCAGGATTCTTCTAGCCAAGGGGATTCCCTGAGAAGTGCCCCGCCAGCAGACCATGCTGCTGTCCTGACCCAGGTGCATGAAGATGCAGAGAGAAAGCAGCTACACATCCACAGGAGATGCTGCGTTGCACCATTTGCCCCTCTGCCTGTTTTGCCACTAGGAAGGAACTGATTTGATTTTAAACCAGGTCAAGTGCAGCAGACACACACTGTATGATAGAAATCTGACTCCTGCCTCAGACAGCCCCTTGCTGGGAGCTCTGCCTTCCATGGGTTTTCTCAGCTTTTAGGCTAAAGCAGAGCAGTTCCCATGGTCACAGAGGGAAGTACCCCACAAGGCTCGACAGCGCTCACAAGTCCTGTGGATTAACAAAAATGATGGAGTGAATGGAGGAGTTTTATTTCTGACCTGGTGAAAACCTTGGATAATTTCTGCTCTTTCTTTTCAGTGAATTGAATGTACTTTGCTAACATTGCCTGTTGCTGGATGCAATTCTATTTAGGGAATAGCATTTGCAGTGGAGAAAGGGGAAGAGATGGGTTCAGAAGCATGTGGGCTTTGGGAAGGCTTCTCTAGGGAGCTAAACAAACTTGTGCCTCTGAGTTTGCAAATGTATGCATCCATCTGTGCACGATGCCATGACTGCGTTATCTTCTGTTTCAGTCAAAGTTTTACTACTTTATGTACTTATTTGTCTGTCCCTTTAGGGTTCTTGATGATACCATTGAATACCGGGAGACACAGTCTCACTTCATCAGACACAGCAAGCAGCCCTTTCTTCCCATGTAGCTTTACCAGGTCATGATTTATAGCTGCTTTTCCAATAGAAGTACTGTCCTGAGCAGTTGTTGTCTAATTCAGGCATGGGGTTTCACACTGGTTAAGATTCCTTATCATTTTTCCTGGTCTTACCAATGTCAACCCATGGTCTCTGCCTGCAAAAGACATCTGCAGGGTGGGGAGTAGAGCACCACGACTTCTCTGCACAGTCACATTTCACACAGCATGGGGTGCCCCAGGCTGAGTAACCGTGAGGACAGCGTCCTCAGGCCCTCCCATGTCCACACACTGCAGTTATTCCCAACCCAGCACCTCCAAATGTCTACAAGTTTCCATGTTTGAGTGGCATTTGTTCTGCAGAGGAAGCTTGTATAGAGCTAACTGTCCCAGATGCTTGCTTTGAGACTTTTAAATGGATATAGCTTATTCTGGCCCCTGTTTTAATATGACCTTTTTTGTTGTGATGTGCGCAGGTACATTCAGTGCTTCTCACACTTGACAGGCTTTAGGGACTGGGAAAAATGATATATTCATGTGAAAAGGGGCATTTTTTTCACCCAACATCTTATTCTGCAAGCAAAGCTAGAACTTTCCTCTCCTGCAACCCTCCTCTTCACATCTGTGTTCACCTTTAGACCTGGAAGAATGCAAAGGGACTTAGCAGTGATCATTATCTCTTACTAGTGTGTGCTGTTGCCTTGTTCAGGTAAGGAATGTGCTTTCCTGTATCATGAACTCCACAGGACCTTGGTGGAAATACAAGTGGAGATAGGATTCTTTCACTCTAATAGTAAATGAGTGTGCTAAGGGAGTGCTGGTGTTTTGCAGGAAGAATTGGGTCAAGGAGCCTGAAAGACCATGGAGGGAGACTGTCTGAGCTGCATGAAGTACCTGATGTTTCTTTTCAATTTCTTCATATTTGTAAGTATTTAGAATCCACTTTCTCTCCTGAATCCCCCTGTTTGTGCAGCCTGCTGCTCCCCAGCAGGACAGGCTGTAATCTGGTCACATCATCACAGTACAGAATGTCCCCTCAGCTTTGCACTAGCAGTCACTGAGGGGTTTGCAGCATCCAAAGATGCTCAGACATTCGACAAGCCAGCACTGTGGTCAGGGTTGTCTGAGTTATTCCTGTCTTTGGCAAGGGAGACCAGAGGGAAAGCTATAGCTAGTGGTGTACACGGGTCTATCCTGGAATGGCAGAAGGAATTGTTTTATAGTCCAGGGTGCCCTGCTGAGGTTTTCACATGGAAACACAGTCATTTTCATAGCACAAATTGGGTCATTCTTGGTCACCCTGTTGCTCTAGTCTGAGATAGGAAAGGTTGGGAGTGCGCAGCCACCCTGGCCTCTGTGGTGGGGATGGTTCACGTGTGGCCCTTCGTTGGGCTGTGCTCTACAGATAGCTGCTCTCTACAGCTACCTGAAAGGAGGTTGTAGTGAGGTGGGGTCAGTCTCTTCTCCTGAGTGACAAATGATGGGACAAGAGGAAACGGCCTCAAGCTGCACTAGGGGAGGTTTAGATGGAGATGAGGAACAATTCCTTCCCCAGAGGGTGCTCAGGCATTGGAACAGGCTGCCCAGGGCAGTGCTGGGGTCACCATCCATGGTCGTGTTCACACACTGTGTAGACGAGGCCCTCAGTGACATGGGTTAGTGGTGGCCTTGGCAGTGCTGGACTTGATGAGCTTAAAGGCCTTTTCCAGCCTGGTTGATTCTATGTGGCTCAAGATTCAGTCTTTCAGCATTAGGGAGGGAATAAACAGCTGGTAATGACATGTCAAGGAAGGTACGTTTGCTGCAAAGGGTCATTTAGTGAGCAAGAGGTACTAAAAGCAGCATATCAGCAGTTACCTGCTTAGTGGAGAATATATGCCACTGAGAAACAAGGGCTCTCCAAGTGAATACCTCTGATCAAAAGATCACAATGAACCCACTCTTCCTGCATCAATTGTTTTGTGTTGACTGATGTCCCTCTCCTTGTGCCATGACAGCTGGGAGGAGCGTGCCTGCTGGGCCTTGGGATCTGGGTCATTGTGGATCCCACAGGCTTCCGAGAGATAGTGGCTGCCAACCCCCTGCTCTTCACGGGAGCCTACATCATGCTGGCTATGGGAGCGATGCTCTTCCTGCTGGGTTTCCTCGGCTGCTGTGGCGCCATCCGTGAGAACAAATGCCTCCTGCTCTTTGTGAGTGTCCTTGTGTTTTCTGTTGGCCTTTTGAATGGGAGTGACTGGGCAGATGATGCTGTGATAAGTGCATGAAATAAGTGTCTGTTATTGTAGCCCCTATTCCCTTAGATAATAAATAGGCTTTGGGTACTTTTACACACAGCTAGAAATACAGACAATTTGACTTTTCCCACCCAGTGGGTATGGAGTCTGGAGGTGGGTTTTGTCCTTGCTAAGCTTTGTTTCAAAATTGTCCTATTTGGTTGGTTGATTTTAGTTTATATTTTTACAAAGTGACCAAAAATGGACCTCTCTTGGCCACCCAAACCCCACTGCTCCACTTGTGGATTCATTCCTGGGTGGTTCACAACAAAACAGAGGGAACATGTGCAAGAGAGCCCGCTATCTCAGCAAAATTCCCAGCTCAGAACTACATGGTGATCTAACATTGCAGCTCCCTATAGCTGGTTGCTCTCTTATGCAGCCTGCTCTGCTCCTAAAATGAACCAGATTTGTTCTCTGTGGGCAGATTTTCCCCTGAATGATAGAGTTAAATTCCATCCCTTGTGGTCATTGAGTAGAGCTTAGCCTCTAAAATAAGACACTTTTGACCTCCACCGTAAGTTCTGATACTGCAGGGTTCCCAGCCATTGTGTCTCACTAGAAGGCATTACCCGTTATGTGTTGAAAGACAAAGACCATTATTTTTATTTCTCATTTTAGTTAAACATGACCTTTTGTTTCCCCCTCTGGGTCTGTTGGGGTGTTGGGGCTTTGGGTTTTTGTTTGTTTGGGGTTTTTGGTTTTGTTGGTTTTGTTTAACTCTTGTTCTTACGGTGTTTTGTTATGATTGTCTCTTGCACAGCTTCTTCATGGTGCAAAAGAGACTTGTTTCTAACTTTAAACAGAAGAGGAAAGTCCTCTTTCTGGAATGCAAACCCATGTTTTCCAAGAGATGAGCATGACTGCACTGAAGGAATTCCCTCTGGCCTTTAGCTCACCCACACCTTGAATTCATAACCTGCAAATGAGAGCCCTGTTCTGGAAGCTGTTGTGGGTTTGATTTCTAGTGCCTCACCTCAGAAGTAAACCAGCAAACCAAATGTGCCTGTGAGGTTGTGGAGATCTGCCTAGAGGAACCTAATAATATGCAAAGGATCAGGACAATAAGCCTGAGGTTACTTCAAAGCCTGTCCCTGTCAGATTAAGAAACTAGAACTTATGTTTAATGAAAAGTATTGATTGAAAGTGAATGGGAGAGTAATATTTTCAGCTTGGACCGTGTCTGCTTCACATAGACTGGACAGAGGAAGGTTTCTCTGGCCATGTTCTCTCCTGATTTAACACCACAAAGTTACATCATGGTTTGAATGCTCCTCCTGGTGCTTTAGTTCTATTCCAGTGCACTCCGTTTTGTGGTTCTGACTCTCAGAGATAGTTCTGATCCCTAGTGCTTTATCTATTTACTTTTACTATTATTTTATACTTGGAATGTGAGAAATACATGGGCTGAAAGTAATGCTCATTTAGGAAAAATGAAAGTAATGCCCGTTTAGGAGAGTTTTAGGAGAAACTCTAAATGTAATTACTGGATGAGGAATTAGCATTCCACCTTGACCAGGTTTACCAGAGCTTCTGCTATCAAAGTCACCTCTGTTAACAGCCTGCCATGCCCAACAACAGCGAAGCACTCGGACAAAGATCTGTGCTGATACCAAGTGGGAAAAGATATTCTGCTTTTTGAGGGGCCACACCAGCTGATGTTAAAGCATCTGTAAAGCCACAAGTCTGATGGGAGTAAGTTTTAGGGTTTGAAAAGGCAAACCATTCATGAGCATACATCAGACTGGGAACACCTTGCAAAGCAGAGTGTCAGGCTTTGGGGGGGTGGTACTTAGGGAGAAGTTGCTAGATCAAATCAAGCCCACTTACAAAGTTGTTAAAGAATTGATGAGCCAGAGAAATGCTCAAGTGAGAATTCACAGCGATGTATAATGCATGTCTGAAGCTTTTAGTCCAAATGTAAACAGGAGATAGAAGGGACACGACAGATGCGCAAATTCATGTTCTCTAGGTTTTGGCTTCTGTGCCTGCAAGAACTTGTATTTTTCATCAAGCTGCTTGTCTCTTGGTAAAAAAGCATCACTGTGTAACCTAACAGGTTTCATTAAGCACAAGGCTGTGAAGTATTTCTAGATTTGGACTTGGCTCACAAAAAGCAACAAACATTGGCCTGCAAATCAGACATTGAATAACTTCTGGGTTGTCCTCAAGACCCTCTGACTGCAAAAGAACACCATGAAAATCAGGATCTAAAATGCTGTTGATCATACAGCATTATACTGCAAGACTGAATTCAGCTTTGCAACGAGAACAGTCCATACTAGCTTCATTTGTTTTACTTTTGACTGCAGCTATCCTTGTAATCTGGATGCAGTAGCCCCTGAAACTTTTCAGCATGAAAATGTGGGTCTTTTGGGTTAAAGGTTGTTGTTGCTTGTTTCGGAGCAGCATTGCTGCAGCTGGAGCAGTAGATCAGATGTGAAAAAGAAACATGAAACACTGATTTGCGGAAACATCTGATAAACTTATAACCATCACCAGGAGCTGAAGCAGGAGTTTTGACCAACACGCGAGACCCCACTCAGGATGTTCACCTTGGATGTGGGGGCTGCCAATGTTCAACTGTTGGGACTCAAGCATGAATTGGAGTGTGAGGCTGTTCTGTCGCATGCATTAACCAGTTGGCTATTTAGTGCTCTTATATACCAGTAATCAATTTAATTTGGGGAGGCAAAACATAATAAGCAGATTTTGACTCTCCTTAAAATGCAGAACAAGAGCAAGTTCTGAAACACTGATGATCCATCTTCTTTTTCTCATCAGCTGTAATGGCTGCTCGTGTCTTTTCTACAGTAACGGTTATAAATCTGTAGTGCAGACTGCACAATATAAGTGTAAATCAGTTTGGAAATGATAATGAAGCTTATCAGAGATAATCTGGGAGTGACTGCTTCCACTTCTTCACAGACCTGAGATGGAGCTTGGGTGAACATGTGTCTCCCAGTAATCAGTAAATGAAATGCAATTAGCAGGGTGATGGGATTAATCACTTCATGGCCACCTTAGACCTCTTCGTGACTACGCTGAGATTCCTTGATGGATGATGATGTGAATTTGCAAAGCATCCTTCATTCTCATCACTTGTTCTTTGCCCTCCTGTGGTGAAATTAAAACAGTCTCTGAGCAAGAAGAAAAGAAGCCACACAGAAAACTCCAGCAGCAAGAATAAATTAGAGAGTTAACTAGTTCAGCAAAATCAAGCAATAGCATTTTGTTGGCATCCCAAGTCCCTGCTAATCTGACTCTTCTTGTTTTGTCATTTGGGCCCAGGCTCCTTTTCTTTTGTTTCCACTGCAGAAGGAGGTAGACAAATGGGACAGGGTGGTGCATGCACTTTCCAATGGGGAAAAATCGCTTACAGCTCTCATAATTGACAACAAATCAACATTTTGCCCATTCCAAGCAGGTAGTTTGAATTCTTTTTCCATTACCAAAAAGCAGAGTGCACAGTATTTCAGACACTGTTTATAAATCATTGCTTGGGGATCACAATAGTACTTCTGGCCTCATCTACCTGCCTTCTGTTTCAGAAAGACTTTCAATAACCTTCTCATATACACAAAAAAAACCATCCAGACTCCTCTTGTGTTCATTTCTACTTGTTGCTTCAACCACCTTCACTGGTAACATGTACTGCATGTGTATTACCCTTATGTGATGTGATCTTACTTTGTTCTCTGTTCACTCATGTTTTTCTCACGTGGTTCCAAAATCTGAGTTCATTTCTAAACGTTCACTCAGCTTTGTAAAAGCATCTTTGAGTCTGTGGCTAATTCTTGGGATCCTTGAATTTTAGAAGGGCTGACTCTCAGATGGTGATTTCTCCTTTATAAGAACATAAAAACCTGTCCATCTAGTTCAAACTTGTGGTTCCTCAAGCCCACTATTTTGTCTCCAAGAATGGAAATAAATGCCATTTTGGGATAGGATAGAGCCTAGCCGCTTTGTGCTCCATTCCCATAGTTGCTCTTCAAGACCAACACTTGTTTCAAGGATGTTAGAGGGCACATCCCTGCCTGTTCCTTTTACTGTTTCTTATGGACTGCAGCAGCATGAAACTAGCATGAGGCATCAATGCAACAGTGCCCTTAATTTAAGGATATGAATATGCACACTTTGGATGCTGTACAAGACATGGATGATACTTGCATAAACAAACTGAAATTATGGTGGTATGTTATCAGCTTTCTGTAGTTGGTTAATACTTGGTGCAACCCCATTGTGTGGAGGGAGATATTAAACAAGGCTAATCTTGTTCTGAAATGTAGAATACTCTGAAAAGAGTCCATTTTTGGTCAAAGATGTAAATATTTGAGTATACATCCTACTACCTCCTTCCATTCACAATGAGCTATGATTGTATGACAGCAAAATTGTTTATGTTGTGGTGAGGGGGTGTGTGCATATGTAGGTGTATGCATGTGGTGCACATATCTGTGTTAGCACGGTTTAACCCTGTATGAGTATCTACATGATCATACAACTTTTTCCATCCAAGTAGGTTTTACTGGTTTAACCTGGTGCAGATTTATCAGGAGCTGGGTTCTGTAGCCTTACTCCCTTTCACCTGTTAGAACCAGGCAAAAGCATCCCAAGCTCCCCTGTCCTGTGACAGCAGAGAGGGGCTGTGCCTGCTCCAGGTTACCTACTCATAGGGGTTTTTTCATTGTCAGGTTATTTGTCAAGTTTTTCATTCCTTGGTTATTTGGGGGTTGGAACTAGATGACCTTAAGGTTCTCTCCAACCCTAACCATTCTATGAGTCTATTTCTTCCACCTCTTTGGTGACTAGCAAACCCTGTGTTCATACTACCTATTGCAAGCACCTGATAGTACGATGTGTTTGTTTTATTTGGATTTCACCTTCTCTCTTCCAGTTCTTCATGTTTATTTTGTTAATCTTCCTGGCGGAGCTTTCAGCTGCGATCCTGGCTTTTATCTTCAGAGAAAATGTAAGTACCCGATGGTGGGCAAGCGCTGGACCCCAGTGGGATTGTTCCCAGCTGGAGATGCTGTTAGACGGTGGCTGATTTGTTTGTAGAGCAACTGTTTGTTTCAAATACCAACAAACCTGCTTCATTCCTACCCTCGGTGTGCAGAACTGCCAGCAAGCCAGTGAATGCTAACTAAGCTGGGGTGCGCAGGGTGGATGGTTTATGTACAAGGGAGATACACATTGGGGGACTACTTAAATCCTGAAGTTTTTAGAGTCTTCCTACTTCTTTTGCAGCCAAACCAGCTGCACATTCCACCAGAGAGAAGTTTATTAGAAAGTCACACTAAGGTTAAAACAAACTCCTTTTATTTTTTCAATATAGCATGTGTTTAATATTAATATTAATAGTGAAACCTTCTGTTTTCCCAACAGAGCCAATGCTCATTCTGCAGTGCAAAAAATTCCTCTTGTTCATCTTCTAATCATATTCCTTCTTGCATTTTCATGTTCTGGTGTTCACCAGATTCCCCTCAAGGCTGCTTGAGATAGTAAGATATCCCTCCTAACCTGCCCTGAGCAAGTCTGCCCATGTCTCATTCCGACTCCCATAACAGATCCCTTTGCATAATGCCCTACTTACAGGTTTCTGTTTCTTATCCCCACAGCTTCATATGATGTGGCCTTTCTCCACTCTGCTGCCCTGCATATAATTGGCCATCATCTCTTCCTTATGCTAATTGTAAGCTTTTGCTACACTAGTAGTAAGCACAGTCTCGTGTGTCTCTCTAACCAGCTCCTTCTTTCCTGTTCCCACATGTGAAAGAAGAATCTGACTCAAGTAGGACTATGCCTCCCAAGTCAGCCCATCTTTGACATACTGCTCTGAGTGATGGCCATGAAAAAACAGTGGCCAGTAGATGTGGTCATTATTGACTGTTAGTATTTATTTTGTTTATTTGGCCTATGTCAATAGTAAGAGAATATACAGCACGTTCCCTGTACTGAACATAACAGAAATGTGGCATGAGCACACAAGGGCCTTGTATAATGATGTTTTTCTTGAGTCAGGATATACTTTATAAGAAGATTTTTATAAGCAAATAAGTTAGGACCTAGGAAGTTGACAGCAAGACAGAATGGTTGTGCAGTGGATGGTCTTGGGGTGGAAGGTAGTGGAAGGGAGAGACTGGTCAAGCTGGAGGTGAGCCTGTGGGCAAGGTGCTGCAGGGCTGCTGTGTCCTCCTCCCTCAGTCACATCTTGCTTCTGGGAAAAGCAACAGTGCCTTCCACTCCTATGGAAGCTGTGGGACAAGTGAAGACATGTTATCTTGCAAGATAAGGTCACGATGCTTTTTCTTGACTTCTGTGGCATCTGGCAGTGTTTTGTGAGAGAAAACTTGAAGTGGAACAAACTTCTATCTTTCTTGAGCTCGTCTCCCTGTTTGTGTCACCAGCTTCCCACTCTGTCAGAATGACTGACAGGAAGGGCTTAAACGGGAAGGAATGAAGAGACCCAACATAGCTGGAGATGGCTCTGCGCAGAAGTTACACTCAGTCTGCAGATTCTTGTGGCTTGTTCTCTTCTCAGGTTTCTTCTGAAAAGAAAAACAAATCTGACCTTTTTTGCTATGTGTTTTGGTGGTAGCTCCTTGGGCTCCGTAATGACTTGTGGCTAATTTTGCTGTCATCTTTGGGTTTGGGTGAGTCTAAATGGGTGGACGGGACGTCCATCGGGACAGAGGTGGCCTTTCAGTGACCCCATGCAGGGAAGAATTCTTCTCAGTAGCAATTTAAGGTCAGGTTCAAATGTGCTTTTCCCTGTGAAATAAGTTACTTTCAAGGTGTGTGGTGGTAAATACATATTTAGGCAATATAAACTTCTTGGAAGCTTACCAGGTGGGTTCCTGTGATGGTCACTGCACAAGTCCATATGGCTTGTGGCCTCACTGGGTACATAAAATGAGGCAAAAAAGGAAGGATTTACTCTATGTGCTTACTTTACAGATGATGTTCAGTGCAGCTTTCTCTTGTACAGGGTTTTACATCCAAACCAGCTGCCAAACACTCAACAGAGCTAAATTATTAATAGCTGAGGGAGTGAAAGAAATTAAGAGGCAAAAATAAGGGAGAAAAGAGATGTTTTCTGCTGAGATTTGACGTGAGAGGAAGATTCAATTAAGCAGAGTGTGGTGGTGGGGTGAGTAGAAGTGGTGTTCACAATAGTGAGTTACTGTGATGTGCAAGTCCGGTTGCACCCCCAAGTACTGTTTAAAAGCAGCCTCTAAAGAGGCAGCCTGTTGTGAACCAGCTATGGGAGTACCAGAGTTTCTCTTCCTTTGTAAAGGAGCTGTTGGAGGGTGAAGAACCCTTGTTCATCCGGAAGACCCCCTAATAAAATAAGGTGTTCCATGAAGAGAAAGAGGCTGTGAAAGAGTGATTTATGTACAGGAACTGCTCTTTATATGCCCTTCAGAGGTCTGGATGGGAAAAATCCTGGAGGGATATTTGACTCTTTTTCTTACTGAATTGTCTTAGCAAGCAAGAGAGCAGGATGGTAGGAACAGATGAGTCCAGTGGCAGGGCTTTGGATGAAGTCAGGATGTTTGACACTTAATAGACAATTCACTTTGGTTCCTGGTACCTCAGTTTCTTCAGGCATAAGGCAAAAACTAAAGAACATGAGGTGTCCGTCCCTCAATTGAGCAGCTGGAAGTCTCTGGGATGGAAAGCACTGTGGAATTAAGAAGTGCAGCACTGGTGACTGTACCTACAGTACAAGCACTGCAGTGTGCAGAAGCGTTAAGATGCTCCAGGCAGGTGCAGGTGGACAAGAGTGTGACCTGCTTTCCAAGTAGGCACTATGAAGCCAGAAGAAATGCCCGCTTTTTCCTAAATCCCCTTCATCTGGCTGCAGTAATCCCAGCCAAGCTCTCTTTTGAACTGTCATTCGCTGGCACATAAATGTACACGTGCATGTGCTTCTTCTGTATTGGAGATGTTCCCCTCTGAACAGCTAGAAGAAATCACAGCTGAACAGCTCTTTACTGTTTATGGCTGTGGCAGATCTTGTTGTCAGAAATTTATGTGAAGATCCAGTTTTATTATTAGGTCCTTTCCTCCCTTCTAAATAGCTCTGGCCATAGGACTCCAATGTGCAGAGACCTCATCGGTGCTGTCACCAGCTTCAGCAAGAGGGGAGCTGTGGGCAAAAGTCAGTCTTGTGACTTTTATCCTCCTTTGTCAGCGTTTTTTTAGAACAAAGATGCTTTTACTCATTGATTTTTTTATTATTAGTAGTATTTTTTATTGGTTTTGTTATACTTTTTCTGAGCTTCAGATGCTCAGGACAAACAGCTTAAGAGCAACAAACTGGAATCAGTTATCTTCCTGGCAAAGTTACCCTTTCAGCACTAGGTTTTGCTTTAGGCCAAGTGTCGTAAAGAAATCACACACAAACTCTCAGCAATTTCCTCAGGGGTTGCTGCTGTCAAAATAAAGGTTTCACTTTATATTGAAATGACTCTTTTGTTTTAGACCCTGCCAAAGGCAGTCAGCTGGGATTATTACCAACAGTAATATCAGTTTCAAAGTCCACGCTTCAGAAACAGACAAGCATCAGAAAAATATGCTGCTGTCTCGGCAGAGAAGCATGCTGCGTGGCTCAAGTAAGCCGAGAAAGGGAAGGAAAGGAGAACACTGAGGCCATATTTCAGTTTCACATTTCATATTTCTCTCAGTGCACCAATTCCCAAAGGAAAACACCGTGTTTTCTGGTATTTTAATATTTAAAAGCAAAAATAAAGTTAATATTTGTCCCATAAAAGTGATTCAGGGATTTAGTAGCATCTCTAATTGAAAGGTAGTGAGATGAGCTACCTGCATCAAGTCTTTGTGAGAAAGTATTGATTTAATCATTACATTTGGCTTTAGTTTGTATTATTTGTAAAAGAGAAGTCAATATGAAGTGGTATTTGGCAGTCTGTTAAAGCCTTCTCTTTTTTTTTCCCCCTTAAATTTTGTCATACAAAGGAAACAAACAGTTTTGTGCTTGTGCTTTTGTGCCCACCCATACATCTCATACATATGCATGTGTATGTGCGATATTTCACATTGCATATCAAGAACCTGAAACCAACTTGTAGCTGTATGTGTCACTGCATCTGCAGTGCTGGGTGAACAATGGGAGAATGGGGGAAAAAAGGCCTTTTTCAGGCAGCTTAATTCCTGATCCTGCAAATATGCAACCCTAGATCAATGCTGTATCCAACTGACTTCAACCCCCTTTGCAATGGTAGAGAGATTTTGCCTGTATGGATCACAAATCACAAGGTATTTTGGAGAAGGGACCACACAAGTCAAAGACTTACTGGGAACCTGAAAAGGGGATTCCTTGGTATTTTCCTCATGAATTGACGGAAAGGCAACAAGATTGAATCAGAGTGTTCAGTTTAACAAGACTATTAAGTTTGTATATTTACTAGTCCTCCAGAGAGTGATCCTGAGTAAATGCAATTTCAAGGTGTCTTAACTTTCCTGAGCCAAAGATTGTTCAGTTTTCTTATTTAACTGTAAAAGTAACAGGAGTAAATGAAATTCTATTCATTTACATTGCAGACCTTGGGAAAAAATGCTCAAATTATCTAAACACTGGAAATATAAAGAGGATTTTTTTCTTCATATGTGTGGGTTGGTTTAGACAATCTAAAGAATTGTCAGGGAAATGGTCTTTTTTTCCTGATTTGTAAGTTGACTTGAACATTCATTCTATGTTTTTTACTTCCTTTTCATTCCCAGAAAGATCCAGATTAAGGCTTCATTCTGCTCTCACACAGGAAAGTAAATTCAGAGCAGTTCCCCTGTTGTTAGTAGGAAGTTAACTGATTTAAAATGAAATGTCAGGGAAAACCATGCTTTGATTGCAGACCTCATGAAGCAGAGTACATTAAACTACTATTTGCGGGTGGATTTGATGACCTTTCTGAAATCTGTTTTAGTCTTGTTTCAACTTATGAAACACTTCCAAACAGCACTGAAAATTCAAAGAAACAACCAACCCTTAAGTGTCAACATCATCTTATGAGTATATTTATAATTCAATCCCTGATTTTTAGTGAGCAGCGGTTCAATTCAGCAGTTCAATTCAACTGGTACTATTCACTCTGGATATAGTTATCTTTCATCCAGTGGTTTTTCCCATGTTTCTCCTCTGAGGTTTGCAAAAAAGAAGAACAAAACCAAAATAAGTTTGGGAAGAAACTTTAAAGAAGGAAACTTTAAAGAATAAAACTTTGGGAAGTGCTTGGTAAAGACGTTAATAGAATCGTAGAACAGTTTGTGTTGGAAGGGACCTTAAAGCTCATCCAGTTCCAACCCCCTACCATGAGCAGGGACATCTTCCACTAGAACAGGTTGTCCTGAGCCCCATCCAACCTTTGCATTTCCACTTGTCTGTGCATTTCAGCTGACAAGAGAGTTTTTCACCAAGGAGCTGAAGAAGCATTACCTGAGGAATAACGACACAGATGTCTTCTCTTCCACCTGGAACTCTGTTATGATCACAGTAAGTCAGGCCATGCCAGTCCCATCCTGCCAATGGCCAGGGGGCATCAACACAGCCCTCAGCCCACCCTCTCAGCTTGCCCAGGGTCAACCTTCTTCAACCATCCTATTGCATCAAGCATAGCGCCTTGGTTTGGGGCAGTGGTGGAAGGGAGATGAGAATTGGGCTGTCAGCTGATCTTTCTCAAAACAAGGGGCCAACCATCAGTCCTGGGAGAGATGCTTCCAATAACTTTGTCAGCCTCTGTGGTTTGCCAAAGCCTGAGGCATTTGAGCTGAGTGGGTACCTCCAGCTTCCCAACAGTGGGCACAGGAAGCCATGGAGCTATCTGTAGCTGAATATAGCTGCATTTACCCTGGAGCTTTCACCTTGCAGACTATTTCAGAACTATTCCCAGACAAAAACTGTTCCTAACTAATGGGTTTTTTTATTAGCTCTTGTGAAATGAGTTGGTAGGTGGCAGATCAGGCAGGAGTGTGTCTGATGGTGTATTTTCAGGATAGAAATATTAGCCAACAAAATTGACTTTGTTATTACATTCCTGATCAGGCAGGTCACAGATTGACTGTCATTGGAATTGGAGTTGTTGTTACCCGCTGTGAGAAGTTCTCTGTGTGTGTTTACACATATGAACTCAGTGCTCAGTACAGACCACGGTGTGTCTCTTGAGGAGTGAAGAGCAGGATGTCAGGCTCTGCAGATGAAAAGTCAATTTTAACCTTAAAAGAAAAGGACAAGTGCTGCCCTTCATGCTGATTCAGGACTTTAATAAAGACATTTCCTTTTGCTGACTGAAAGGAGACAGAGCCAGAATATGACTTGAATCCTTAAAAAGGACCTGACTTGAATCCTAAAAAGGGACCTGACTTGAATCATCTAGCGGCAACAAGCCTGACCATTAGCTGTGGGGAGAAGGGGTGGTGAGGAGCCTGGATTATACTGTTGGCTCCCTTACAGACTTGCTGGGTGATCTCAAGCAAGTCATTCTGGATGTGCTCCAAAGCCCTGTGTAGCTCGTGGCAATATTCCCAGTGGTACCTCAGAGTCTATAGTATGACATGGGAACAGTGGGACTTTTTATACGGGTTTTGATGAAACAGAAGCTTTGAGGTACAAGCACAACCCACTTCTTTGGAAGCAACAGTTGTTTTGTCCCTGCTTTGACTAAAGCTTTGATCCCTACAAGAATAGGCCTTTGGCAGATTTCTCCTATCTGCTTTCAGGGCAAAGTGTCTACTCTGTCTTCCTTTCTTCCCTGTGCCTCTCCCTAGTTTGCCTGCTGCGGAGTGAATGGACCAGAAGATTTCGAAGCTGTCCCTCTTCTTCCATACTCCTCTTTGGAAAGTGCAACACCTGAGGCTTGTTGCCAGCGAGAGCTCCAGAGCCGGGAAGGGATGTTTGTCAACAAGGAAGCCTGCCTCACAGGCGTCGAGAGGTTTCAGAACCGACAGGTAAGGGAAGCCCAACACCAGGGAAAGGAGTTTACGGGCAGAGATATGGCTGCAGTGGCCATGGTGATCATACCCCTGGGCCTCCAAGCCCGTCCATCCTGGCCTTGAACACTGCCAGGGATGGAGCATTCACAACTTCTCTGGGCACCCTGTTCCAGCGCCTCAGCACCCTCACAGTAAAGAACTTCTGCCTTATACCCAACCTAAATCTCCCCTGTTTTAGTTTGAACCCATCAACCCTTGTCCTATCACTCCAGTCCCTGATGAAAAGTCCCTCTCCAGCATCCTTGTAGCCCCCTTCAGACACTGGAAGCTGCTCTGAGGTCTCCACGCAACTTCTCTTCTCCAGGCTGAACAGCCCCAACTTTCTCAGCCTGTCTCCATACCGGAGGTGCTCCAGCCCCTGATCATCCTTGTATCTCCTTACAATGTCACCAAGACATGAAGTTTAAGAAACTTTTTAGCAACGTTCCTGACTGTGTTCATCTCAGCAATGAGAACTGTCTGTACAAGCCTCCTTTTCTCTCCAGACAAAGCAGTGGTCCTCTTTCCAGCACGTGATAGCAGGTTGTGAAAGAGGGTAAAAGGAGTTTGGAAGCAGTGTGTGAGCTGTTCCTTGCCTGGCAGCTGGAAATGGTTGGCAAAGGCACTTTGGGTGAGAGATCATAGCAGACAGCACCATGCTGCTTCTGCCAGGTCTCATTGCTGTGAATAGATGGGGAAGAAAGAAAGGAGAGAGATGACAAACAGCAGGGAGGGAACAGGAATGGCATTTTGAGGAAGAGGGTGAAAGCAGATAGCAGATTTAGCTTTCCCAAATTGTGATGTTGAGTCCTACCACTCCTATGGAAAGGGAGGTCTTCCCATGAGCCCTTGTCTACTGCAGAGTGTTGGTGGAAGAAGCTGTGTGCACAGGGAGTGTCCCCAGGCGCACAGTGATGTACATCTGTAAAATGGGAGAGGATTCCAAGGAACTGGAATTCAGGCATTCCAGGGGCAAAGTCAGGCTCTTGGGACAATGTGCTGGTAGGACAGTGCTGGCCACACTTGGGCTCACCCCTGTTTGGAGCCAGCTGAGTGAGGTATGCTGGAAGTTGGGCTAAGGTTGGAATTGTGACAAGCACCCATTTTGTTGCTGGGATGGATGCTTTTCTCTGAAGATTGGGCTTTCTGTGCTCTCCCTTGCACTCCTCTAGTTGTGTCTCACTCGCAGTGAGCAGGGTCTGGCATGGATCCCACTGCATGACTTTTGTGGTGGCTTTGCATTTCAGACGTTTTCTTTATGGGTGGAAGGGGAAAATCAGGTATGGATGGGGTTAAACATGTATGTGTGCAGTATATTCTCAGTGGGGAGGAGAGCTACTTGTTACATTGGAAATTTACATGGAGTTTTCTCTTTGTGTGTGACCTATTTGCAGAAGGTGGGTTGGAATTTTAGGTTGGGAGAACTCAGGCCAGGGGTGATTTCCAGAAACATCCTGAAACCTTTGCAGAAGATCTACCTGCCATTAACTGGATGAACAGTAATAAATGACCTCAAAGATCATAGAATGGTTTGGGTTGGAAAGGAACTTAAGATCATCTAGTTCCAACCCCCAAGCAAAGATGATGGTGGCTACGCTGTGTAAGTGGAAGGATTGCTGCTGTGCATGGCCCTGAGTCCTTAATGAAAGTATTTCTCCCATAGCTAGAAGATCAGCAGGTTTTCACCCATGTTCGTTTTGGGGTAAGCCACGCAGGAAAGGTCCTGGAATGTGAAAGAGCTGTGAGAAGAGGATTCAAGAACCTCAAAGCCTTTGCTTTAACTAAGTAGGCCTTTTCCCTAGCCAGCCTGGGCTGCCTGGCATCTGCTCTGAGGGTCTTTTCCTCTGTGCTTAGTCTCTGCCCTTTGCAGAGGGAGTGACTCTCCTCTGCTGCTCCTCTTTGCCCTGAAAGAAGTCAACAGTTCCTTATGGTCAGCACAGGGGCGTGTATGGATGGATCCATTCCCATCCCACTGCAGCAAAACCTTCACCTCCACAACACTGTCCTGTACGTATCTGCCTCCTGTGCCATGGGGATAAATGAGGGGGTGAGAGGGATCCATGCTTGTAGTGCCTGGATCTGAGAGCACCTCCTGTAGAATAGTTTGGGTTGGAAGGGACCTTCAAAGAGCATCTAGTCCAACTCCCCTGCCATGAGGGCTGTGCTGTGAGAACATTACAATGGGCCGCTCAGGCGTGTCTCACCATGTTTTGTCTTTCCTAGGGCTGCTACACTGTGATCCTGAACTCCTTTGAGACCTACGTGTACCTTGCTGGAGCCCTTGCCATTGGAGTGTTGGCTATTGAGGTACTTACTGTTGTGTGGCTGGAAGAAAAGCAGTGCTGGTACATGTGCAGCAGTGAGGTTCCCCCATTGCCAGGGGAAGCTGTTCCCTGCCAAGCACGAGCAGGTTGTCAGCTTGTGGTTTTAATTGCCTGGAAAGAGCTGAGAGCTCGGTCCTTTGCCATGAAAGGGTGGGAAATAACTGGTGCCACACATGGAGGCTTCAGGGATGCACCACTGGTAGTCACTGCCCTCATTGCAGCTAACAAGCTGACTGCTCTGTCACTTGGTTATTGTGTTTGAACTCTGCCTTTGCTTTAAAAACCTCTGTTCAGAGCCTGAAACTGTATCAGCTCCAGAGCATCTCCTTTATCCTCAGTCATACCTGGCTCTTTGGTGATGCTTCTGAGGAGCAGGCTTCCAGCAGACATGGCAGTAACACATAAGTGATGTCCCTGCAGCATTGCTGGGGCAAGGCCGGGTGCTTTCCCTGGTCCTGTGTCTTGTGCAAAGGAAAGTGATTTGGGCAGAGAGCCACAGCAGCCCCCACAAAGCTGAGCTCTGCCTGTACTGGGCAGTGGAATGATGTGCAGAGCATGGAGCAAGGACCCTGCTTCCCTGGGACACCAAGGGCAGTTTGGGAATGAAGACAGGCTGCTGCTGTAGCTACAGACGGTGGGGCAGGGGAATGAGGGGAGGGATCACCTTCAAGAAAACACTTTGCCACAGCCTCCACGGGTTGTGGGAAGGGCCCCTCTTGCTGCAGCACTGACTGATGGGCAGGAAGGAGTGATAGGAATGGCCTCAGGGCCAGGGAGGGCTTTGCCAATCTTCTGGAAGATGCAGCTGACTCTTGTGATGCTCTGTTTTGTTTTCACCCTCTTCTTTCCCCACCTTTCCCAGCTCTTCGCCATGATCTTCGCTATGTGTCTCTTTCGAGGGATCCAGTAAGAGGTGGCCCATGGACCACCATGTTCCCACATGCTCAGAAGAAAGAAGGAAAACGAGAAGAAACAAAACCTGAAACCACCCAAAAAAACCTTTATTTTTTTTAACAAAATGGGGTAGGGTTAAAAAAAAAAAAAAGAAGAAAAAAAAAAGAGGGTTGTAATATATGAATGACCAAAAGGATTGTACTTCAGGGGCTGGAACTTTGAGGTGATGTGCACTACACTGTACACCGGACCCTTGCCCAGAGCCACCCGCAGGAGCCCAGCACAGCCACTGATTGCACTAGAGAGTGATGGAGCTGGAGGGGAGGAGCAGGAGGACAAACACGGCTGCTTCATCCACTCAGCCAACTCTACCATTCATGACTTTATCATGCTTTAGACTGCAAAGGACTGAAGAACACTGGGGCTGATAAGGCAGCAGGTGGCTGAAGTCTGTGACCGTCCAGGTGGGTTTGAGACAAGCGGTGGTGGCTCATCTAAGGAGTAGGTAGTTATCGTTGGCGTGATTCTGGTTTTAATTCCCAGCCACAGAATGAAAACACACGTTCTGCAGTGGAAGCTTTGCCCCTGAAACTTGGAGAAGCCAACAAGGAGGTTGGCTTTTCTCTGGAGCCCCAAGCAGGGGCAGCGTGGTCTCACTTGGCAGTGGGACTCAGCTAAGGCTGGCTGATGGTCAAGAGTTTGGTGCCTACCTTTCTGATTTTACTAAGATTTACTGTTCATTGCTGTGAAAAAGAAAGAGATCAAATGTTTCCCTGCTGTGTTCCTATCTCCTGGGAAAAAATAATGGCTCTGGTCAAGAATCACTGATACTGCTGCCTTCCTGAGAAGGGGAGGAAATAGTGTTTAAATCTTGTCAGCCTTTGCCTTTCCCTCCATACTTGCAAAAACCAGTTTGTGGTGCTCAGTTAGCATAAGTATTTGCAGTGGTTCCTACATGCTCTCCAGCCCTATGGGGAGGGCCAGGCATGGTGCTGGATGGAGGAGGCTGAGGTCTGCCAGCCACTCCCATGGTGTGTGCATCATTTCTCCCATGGGTTCACAATGAAAACGTTAAGTCAGGATTGGTTTAGCCTGCCTGGTAGTTGTGAGTGTTTCCTCCCTTGAGATGATATTTTGATGTTTAACTAATGTGCCATCTACTTAACCATTTGGAAGTGAACTTGAGGAAGATGCCTGGGACTGCGCCTTGGTCAGAGGTGAAGATGGAAGTGCCGAGGACCCAGGTAGGCTCTGAGAGCACCCAGTGTGCAGCCAAACTGCTCCAGCTGCTGTTCCAGCGGTCATGGTTATCAGGTCTCTGGTTTATCTCCTCTGGAAGCGTCAACCCCTGTTGCCTTAATTGTTCATCTGGTCTCTCCCTGACCCCAAACTCGTTTCACACATGGGAGGACAGAAGGGCTGTGGTTTCTTGTTCAGCTTAGGTCTTTTTACACATTTTATAGGCTCAGATTATGGAGTCCTTTTATATAAGCTTAAACCAGCCCCTCTGAAAGCTGTAACCACTGGCAAGGAAGGAGAGGGGGCAGAAGGCAGCAGCAAGGAGACAAGCAGTAACCTTATGCCCTGGCTCCGTAGCAGCAGGTACATTGGCTGTTAACATACACTACTGGGGCTGTGTCCCTTGAGCCCTCCCAGGGGCACTGCACAGGCTACAGGGAAGGAAGGAAAACAGCAGAAAGCCTGGCCCATAATAGACAAAGATTCTGTAATAAATTAGATATCAGGAAGAAGTTCTTCCCTGTGAGGGTGCTGAGGCGCTGGCACAGGGTGCCCAGAGAAGCTGTGGCTGCCCCATCCCTGGCAGTGTTCAAGGCCAGGTTGGACACAGGGGCTTGGAGCAACCTGCTCTAGTGGAAGGTGTCCCTGCCTGTGGCAGGGGGTTGGAGCTGGGTGAGCTTTAAGCTCCCTTCCAACCCAGACCAGGGCGGTTGGAACTAGGTGATCATAAGGTCCTTTCCAACCCAAACCATTCTATGATTCTATGATGCTGGCTAAATATCCAGATTGGGGAATTAGGATACTAAGGAATAAGAAGGAGATATTAGAGCTTTTCCAAGCTTCATTTGAGAACAACAATTTGCTCATCAGCAGGAGAGGCCTGGGGCCAGGTAGAGCTGCAGCCGCCTTGCTTCAGTCAGCATATTCCAGCAATGAAATAGGTTTCCAGGGCTGCTGAGCAGCCTCAGATGTTGCATTAAACCTCGTGGAAAGCATTTCTGAACTCTTT